CTAAATCTGAAGGGGGCAGATCCAACTGACTGTCTTTCTCTCCTCCGTCTCGTCCTCCGTTAATCCTCCCGGTTTAAATGATTTAAATAATCCAAAGTCTCGGTCTTTCTCTATCCGCTCCGTCACTCGGCTCTCTCAAATCTTTCCTGTTCGTCTTTACTAGCCGCTTCAACCAAATGCGCCCACACACGTATCTGTACTTATTACAGTTAAGTTGTTTATCCCTTCAGATTTATGCTTTTAAGTCAAGATCTTACGTTTGCCGTCATTCAATCCGCAACGTTCCCTGCAGCTGTCTCTCCCCTCCTTGTTGAAGGCTGGCAGTCACGTCTTCTGGTCGGCCATTAATCAGCCGACCTCTTTTGCACATGCTCTGAGGGAGCCTCTCGCTTCGTGGGGGGAGATTGCCTTTCTCCCTCCACTGCTCCGATGCTTCCCCTCTCCACAGGCCCTCGCACCTCGAAGGGACCTTGCCTACTGCAGCCACGCTTGTGCAAAGACCGGGCAAACCGAGCAGAGGATCTGTCGGCAGCTCGCTCCGGCGCGACGCCAGACCGGAAGTCCAGTTTCGGCTGATCCTTTCATAAACCAAGCTGAGGCTGTGCAAAGATGGAAAAGTGAAGAAAAATACCACCCTCTGTCTGCCAAGACTGAAAGCCCCAAGCAACTGCTTTTGTGGTTGTTAGACATGGAGCAGTTGCCAGTGATTGAGCTCCATTTTGTATTAAAATTATGTATTAAACTGTGTTCTGTTAAGCAGCTGCTAACTGCAACCCTTCACTTCAAAAGATAAAGCATGTGTTGACAGTTGTGCTTGGTGGAGATCTCTGGCTGGGCCAAGGGCTGAAGTTTGGGAGATTTCAGCAGAATCAGACTGTGTCATCCTGCTTTATCCTGCATGTAAATTAAATAAGGAAATACAATCTTCTTTGTAATTGGATGCCTGGGGCCATTCATGATATTTCAGTCTACTATTATACAAGGTTCTTGCAAGGTTATATTTGTAGTTATCTTCATTTATACTCACTACATTTTTTTAAACTTTTATTATATATGTACTTTTGATATAAACTGTGATGTATATATGAATTACTGGAATTAGTCAAATGAGAAATTTATTATTACTGGTAAAATAAAAACGTCAAAATATTCTAATTTGTAAGCTTTGTATCTTTACAGCTCACCACTTCATGGTCCAGTGCTCCAGGTACAGATTTACTTCTTAAGCTTAAAGTATTTTCATTTCCTTTTGAAAAGGATCCACTGAGATCTCTCTCTGATCTACTACGATCTGCAAAATATAATGAAAAGCCATATATAGTCTATTATCAATCTATATAGAAGATATTATACCAAAGATGCTTTTTCAAGAGGCAATTGAACTTCCTTGTGTTTCTTTGAAGATGTTTTGCTTCTCATCCAAGAAGAGTCTTCAGTTCTGACTGGATGGTGGGGAATGGAAGGATTTTCCCCATTATTCAGTGAGAGCTTCACTTGGATGAAAAGTGAAACATCTTCATAGAAAAACAAGAAAGTCGAGTTGCCTCTTGAAAAAGCCCATTTGGGACAACATGACTTGGCTGTCTGAGAATCTCCATAGACAGAAGATATTGTAGTATATTTTAACTTATTTGTGTGTGAAATGGACTATTTATCTATTTTCCCACAACTTCTTGTTTTTATCCATCAATTTCCTCTTTGCCTGAAACCTACAGAAAAGATAATTTTTTTAAAAAAATAGGTTACAGGAAGAAATTCAATGGTGATTTCATTTTTCTCACTCTTTGGAAAATCAAACAGGGATAGGGAAAATGTATTTCATGCAAGCTAAGTCTCTAATACATCTATCTAGTCTGTTAGTAAGTGAACCGATTATAAAGGTGCATCTTTCATCCAATTGTTAATGCATATAAATGTGTTGAATAAAATTTAGGGAAGAAATGATCAGCAAAAACTAAAGTTTACAGATGTTTATACCTCATCTTTGTTTTAAGAATAATTATGACAGATACATAGAGATTTTTTTCATTAAAGGGGAAGAACCATAGTTCTTACAATAAAGTGTGCATTTTTATGCAAAAGATGCCATTCAACCCTCTTCATCTTCAGTTCAATTGTACATAAAAGAATCAGGCAGCAGGTGACCTATGCCTGAAGAGGCACTGGAAAGCAAACAATACTGCACTAGGATCCAAATCAGAATTACAAAAAGTGTACCCCATCATTATCCTTTGATGGTTTCTGCAATCATGACAGAATAGGTAAGCCAAAAATATGGTCCATGTACTGTAAACTCCTTCCCTGTCCTCAGTCAAATTGCATCTGTCAATAAAATCCTGAATTGATAGAAATTCTGCATCTCTGAACCTGTCAGCCTCCACTTTGCCTCCGCTTTGCTACTGCTTCGGCTGCCATTGAAACGGGGAGAGGGGGGCATGGTATTTGGGAGGGGAATCATTGTTGTGCTGGAGGAAGTTTCNAATAGAATAGAATAGAATAGAATAGAATAGAATAGAATAGAATAGAATAGAATAGAATAGAATAGAATAGAATAGAATATTGGTAAAGTGTAATTGGACACACAGGAAGTTGTCATGAGCTCTCAGTATACATACAAGCAACAAGTGATAAATCAGTATTATTATCATAAAATATATTCATCATAAATCATAAGATAACAACACTCAGTGATAGACATAGAACACTAAATAAGCAATCAACATAAATCATACTAGGATACTAAATAAAACAATTAATAGAAATGATAAGATATAAGCAACAAAATTATAGTCATAAGAAGATAAGGATAGGTAATAGGAAGGATGAGAAGGATAATAATAATACAGTCCTACTAGGTAGTTTGACAGTGTTATGGGAATTAGTTGTTTAGCAGAATGATGGCATGGGAGGGAAATTGTGTCTAACTGTTTTGGTGTACAATGCCCTATAGCAGTGATGGCTAACCTTTTTGCCATCATGCGTCAAAAGCGGGGGGGCGTACAGGGGGGTCGTGCGTGCACATGCCCACACCCATAATTTTATGCGCCCTCCCCTGTGCATGCACGCAACCCCCATGCATGCACGCAACCCCCCATGCATGCACGCAACCCCCACTTTTGGCACACGATGGCATGATGGAGTCATTTTTCACCCTCCCCAGGCTCCAGAAGCTTTCTAGGAGCCTGGGGAGGGTGAAAATGGCCTCCCCCGCCCCCCCGGAGGCCCTCCTGAGATTGGTAACGGTCCATTTTCCAACTTCTGGTTTGCATGTAGGTTGTTTTTCGCCCTCCGGAAGCTTCAGGGAAGCCTCCTGAAGCCTCCAGAGGGCAAAAAATGGCCCAACCCGCAAACCGGAAGTTTGGAAACAAACTTTCGGTTTGTGCGGTGAGCTGTTTTTTGCGCTCCGGAGGCTTCAGGAGGTTTCCTAAAGCCTCTGGAGGGCGAAAAATGGCCAAAAGTCATGGCCAAAATCAGCTGGCATGCGCATGCGCACTGGAGCTAACAGGGCAACGCCTCACATGCCCTCAGAAATGGCTCCGCATCCATCTGTGGCACACATGCCATAGTTTCATCATCACTTCCCTATAGCATCATAGAAGGAAGTTTATCTCAAAGATGTGAGGGTCTGTAGATATTTTCAGAGCCTTCTTTCTGGCTCGTGCAATATACAGGTCCTCAATAGAAGGCAGGCTGGGAGCAATTGTTTTTTTCTGCAGTTCTAACTATCCACAGAAGTCTGTGTCTGTCTTGTTTGGTTGCAGGGCCAAACCAGACAGGTATAGAGGTGCAAATGACAGCCTCAGTAATTCCTCCGGAGAATTGTATCAGCAGCTCTTTGGGCAGTCTGAGTTTTCTGAATTGGTGCAGGAAGAGCATCCTTTGTTGTGCTTTTTTTATGACAATTTTGTTTTTAGGTGTCCATTTTAAGTCTTGATATATTATGGAATCTAGAAACTTGAAGGTCTCTACCGATGGTTCTGTGTTGTCTAGTATTGTAAGAGGTAGTAGAATAGGAGGGCTTCTCCTAAAATCTTTCTATAATGTCTTCAGGCAATGCTGGCTCCTTTGGCTAAGAAATGGAGCTGAGCAACGCTCCTTTGAATCGGACACAACCAGACAAGGGAACCTTTTACCATTACCTTTATTGTAAAAACAGCTGATTTACACATTAATTCAAGCTGCTCTGAAGTGGAGACAGGAGAAATAACTTGCCACTTCTTTCTGGCTTTCTGAAAGTTCTAATCCTAAATAGATTTATTTTGGGAAGAATGTTAAAATAATATAGAGAAATTAGACCAATAGCCATTGTAGCTCTGTATTAAAAACTGTATTGCACAAGTAGCCAGTATCCTGTATTGAACACTGAAGGTATTAGCAAAACTGGCACTCAATCTTTTTAAATATTTAATCTAGAAAAAATTCCCCAATGAATTAAAAAAAAAAACCTTGAAGGAATATTTCACATTATTGCCATAATGAAGTAAAAATGTGCAGCCTTGGCCTGATATCATTCAACAAGAATGAGATTCGTTTCAATTTTAGGGATTAAATGTACACATAGCTGAGCTGGGAAGCCAAATCTATCCAGGGAAAGATACTTTGTTTTCATAAAGATAACATTTGTAACAAGCTATTCCTGTTATATGTGGTGGTTTCTGTCGGTTGTGAATATTCTGGGAAAAGGTTTTTTTCCCTCTCTCGTGAATATTCTACTAGAATCCCTATTAAAGATCGAGATGGAGAAAGTCCCGAGGAAGAGCTAATACTAACAAATTGATTTGATCTAGACCAACAGCAATCAATCAGACCTTCAGGGATTAATAGCAAAATGGAACATCAACACAAATAATATAAATGAAACATCAATAGTAAAGACAGAATGAACAAAAATCACTGAGGCAAGCTTATACCACAATAATAACCTATACCTGAAGGCATCAATTCAGTCTTCATAAATTCTCTAACACAGAGATTTGACTACATTTGCAAGGCTAACAGTATGGAAGTTGGTCTAATTTCCACAAGGAGGCTCTTCTATGCTAAGGATGTGTTTTCATAGATTCTATGAGCTTATATCTTCTCATTTCCACAAAAATGGGTGACTGCTAGCTGTTTGGGCATTATATCAACGTAATTTGGCATTGTATCAGTGTAATGTACCTGTGAAGACAAGCACCAGCCATTAGCTAAGTTGCTGCATTCTGCACCAAGTGAAGCTTTCTTCAAAGGCAGCCCTACAAACAACTGTTGCAGTAGTTTCCACAGGTTGAGAGCATGACTCACTTTCACAAGATCTTTCTTCTTCTAGGTAGGGCCACAATTAGAAGACCAGCCTGACATGGGCAAAGCCTGTCCCTGCCCTTCCAGCCTTAGATACGCAAATCCTTCAGGGGCAATTACACTCCCTTGAGAAACCATATTGGACCTGACAAAGAAAACTCCAAGGTGAGTTTCTGGATTCAACCTCAGAGACTGGGCCAAGATGTTTAGCTTCTCTTCCACGGTTAGACTAACAATACTTATGATTTATTAAGCTCGTGGACCAATCTACGTCCATATATCAAATTAAAAACATAAAATTTATTTTTCAAAAATCAGCTATATCAACATAAATGAACACCAGAAGCAACATTTAATATCCCAAGAGGCCAGATCCAATTCCAGAAGAAACCACACTATAACAGCCCAGTCCCAAGGAGATATCATCATCGCCAATTAGTATAGAAAGAATGGCATCTCCCAGCAGCTTTATATAAACATTAAAGAGCAGTGGGAAGAAAATAGACCCTCGTGGTATCCTATGAGGTAACAGCTATTGGTTCATCATTTTTATTCCCTGACTACCATCATCGGAAACAGGAAGGCAGAAAACCACTGTAGAATAGGTTTGCCAATCCTCAACTATCACAAGTGTCCAAGAAGAATTCTGTAGATAGTCCTCAACTTACAACAGTCCATTTAGTGGCCATTCAAAGTTCAACAGCACTGGAAAAAGTGACTTATGAGCATTTTCCACATTTATGACCATTGCAACATCCTGGTGGCCAAATGATCAAAATTCAGGTGCTGAGCAAACTGACTCATATTTATGATATTAATGTGTCCTGGGCACATGTGATCACCTTTTGTGACCTCCCAACAAGCAAAATCAATGGGGAAGCTAGATCCATTTAACAACCATGTTACCAACTTACCAACCGCAGGCATTCACTTAACAACTGCGGCAAGAAAGGCTGTAAAATGGAGCAAAGCATACTTAACAACTATCTCACTTAGCAACAGAAATTTTGG